CAACCTTTAGCCTCACATTTAAACATAATCGTACCCTTAGTCAACCCTAAACCTTACTCCTAAACTTTGATCTAACCCAGCACTAACCTCTAATACTAACACTAACCCATAATCCAACCTTAACCCTTAACCAAAGACTTAATCTTACTCCTAACAACAACCCTAACTATTTTGCTGAGGCATGTTTGACATTTTGCTTACTCATATTTTGCTACTTTGCTGAGTTCTCTTTCTTTGTTGAATGGTCATTGTTTATTTTGCTGAATCTTTATTGGAGTTTTTACTGAGTCAATAGCTTGACACTGGCTTAGTCTTGGTTGACTGAATAATGTCATGGTTTGCTGTTTTTGGTGAGTTGTGGTTGACTCTACTGATGAGTTACAAATCACATTGTATTATTTTGATTGCCTTTTTTTTTTAACTGAGTGCTCGTTGAATATTTTTGCTGAGCCATGGTTCATTTTTTACTGAGTTAGTGGTTGGCTATTTTTATCAACTCATGGATTGACTCTGCTAATCATAGTTGGCTTTTTGTGGATCTTTTTTGCTGAGTCATTGTTGGTAGGTTTTGCTGGATCAGGTTTTAACCTTTTCTTGAGACCTGTTTTGGTAAGTCATGCCTTAGTATTTTGTTGAGTCATTATTTGCTTTTGTTAAGTTATGGTTACCTTTTTTACTGAGTGTTTGGGGGGTTTGTTGACTGGCTATTTTTTGTTGAGTCATGGTTTCAGTCATGGCATGGCTATTTTCTTTCACTGCTGCGTTACAGTTTGGTTTTTTTTCATGTGTTGTCGTTAATCGTACTGTGAAATCATGCTTGCACATACTTCTGCTGAGCTATTGTTGGGTGTGTAGCTGAGCCATAGGGGGATTTTGCTGAGTATTCATTTTACATTTCCTGAGAAAGCAATGGGAGTTTGTGGCTAGATGCTTGGTAGGCCTTTTACTGAGGCATTTGTTATTTTTTTAAAGACATTTTATTTTTATTTGTGTGTATATGTCTGTATCCGTGCCTGTATGTGTATGTGAGTGTGTGTGGGTGTCCAAGGAGGCTAGAAGAGACCTTTATATCTCCTGGAGCTAGCATTACAGGAAGTTGTGAGCTGCCTCAGATGGGTGTTGGGAACCAAAGTAGGGTTTTCTGGAATGGTAGCAAGGACTCTGAACTGCTGAGCCATTTCTTTATGCCTAGCACCTGATAACCAAAAAGTCGATACCCTGTGTGAATATATAAGTATATGATATTCATTTATTCTTATTTCTTCATAGTTTATTTGGTAGTTTAAGAAATATTGGTTGTGTATCCTCTGAATATTTGATAAAATTCTGCTGTGCATCCATATGGATCTTGATAGTGTTTGTAATTACAGTTTTGTGCTCTTTATTTGTTATAGGTCTGTTTAAGTTGTTGGGCCAGTTCTTAAACTTCAGTGGTTCCATTATATTTAGAAATTCATCCATTTCTTTCAGATTTTATAACTTAATAGAGTCTTGTTTATCTCTTCAAAGAACCAGTTCTTAGATTCATTTATTCTTTGCATTATTTAGTATGTTTCTATTTCATTGAATTCTGCTCTGATTTTTTATTATTTCTTCTCATCTGCTTGTTTGGGTTTGTTCTTATTTTTTTCCATATTCATGAGTTGTATTATTAAGTCATTCATCTGTGCTTTTTCTGATTTTTAAATGTAGGGGCTTAGAGATATAAACTTCCCTCTTAGGGCTGCTTTTAACATTTCCCAGAGGTTTTGCTGTGTTGTGTTTTCATTTTCACTTAGTTCCATAAGTGTTTTGATTTCTTTCTTGAGTCCTTTTTTTAAACATTCACCTTGCATGAGCGTGTTGTTTAATCACCGTGAGTTCATGTGGTTACTACAATGTGTTTTACTGTTGACCTCAATCTTTATTGCAATGTGGTCTGATGAAATATATGGAATTGTTTCAGTTTTTCGTGTTTGTTGATTTCATATTAGTTTGGATATAAGGTTGACCATTCGGGGTTCGGAAACCTATCAAAGGCCTTGTCCCTGAAGAAAAGTTACTTCCCCTTCCTCAGCAGCCCTCAACTGCCTATAGCTCTCTGGTTTCGGTTATTGCTTCTGTTTATGTGTTGTTTTGCACCTATTCCATTGTGGTTATGTATGCTGAGCCATTTAGCATCGCTGCAATGAAATCAACTTTGTCATTGTGTATATTCTTTTTGGTTGATTGTACTGGTGATACTTTCTGCTGTGTTTTCTTCTGTTTCATTTCTAATATTTCAAATTTTTAAATAGCTTTATTGATTTGAAAATTTCATGCAATATATTTATATCATATTCAGACCTCTCCCCTCTCCACCCTCACCTTACTACTCTCCACAAACTTCATATTCTCTATTCTTTTTTGCCTTTATTTCTACATTTTTGATAATTTCGTTCATGAGTCTTGTCTTTGCATTATTTCCATGTCTCTCAGTCCCCCTCCAAGTCCTCCGTTTCTCCCTTCACTCTCTCGCAACTTCCTGTTCTCTTCTTTGATTTTTATTGTTACACATATTTATATATGAACATTTATAAATACATACACAAATATATACATATATATTTGTAACAATACTATATATAATACTAAGCCTGGGCTGGAGAGATGGCTCAGTGGTTAAGAACACTGGCTGTTCTTGCAGAAGACCTGGGTTTGAATCCCAGCACCCACATGGCAGCTAACAACTGTCCATAACTCCAGTTCCAGGGGATCTGACAGCCTCTTCTGTCCCCCATGGGCATTGCATGACACAAGTGTACTTATCTACATGCAGGCAATGCACACATACACATGAAATAAAAATAATAAATAAAATATGTTTTTTTAAAAAAATGTACTGAGTCCATAATTTGGTACTCACGTGTAGCTGTGTTTAGGACTGTCCATTTCTGATTAGAGAACCTCTTGGAGAGCTAGTATCTAGGGAAAACTAATTCTCTCTCCCTTGGTAACCATTAATTGCCTGTAGCTCTTCATCTTGAGGTGGGGCCCTGTGGATCAGCTGCATTTGTCTTGGTGTGTCAACTGGTTTTGTCACTATGCAGATCTCGTTTGATTACCATGCTCTGGGGACTTCACTGGGGTGGCTTCCCTACCGTGTCTAGGATGCATTAACCAGCATAGGGCGCCTTGTCCCTCTGCCTCATACACTCACTTCTCTGCCTCCTTCATCTGTTCCCTGAGCCTTACATGTAAAGGTTGCATTTTAAATGTGTCGCTTGTGACTAGGTACCTCATTATCACTTATTATCTGAGTTTCAGCAGTTGTGGAATTTTGTCAGTTTCCATCCGTTGCAAAAAAGAGGTTTCTTTGATTAGTAGTGAGAGGTACACTTGTCTGTAAATATTCTCCGTTCTTATTTGCTTTTGTTTTAAGGCCTATCTATTCTAATCTGGGTTCTAGTGCCTGTGACAGCATGTGCAAACCTGGGAAAATCCAAAGGAGACAGAGGCCCAACATGAATGGGGAACATAGGCAAGAATCTCCACCCCTAGTTGAGGATTTATTAGCATTTGATAGATGCGGGGACAAGCAGAGTCAGTTTTCCTTACTGGAGTGATGCTGGTAAGTTGGCCAGACTCCTAGGGATAAACCCATACCCAAGAACACTTAGGATTCACGGAATAGACTAAATAGCACTTTAAAAGAAAGACAAATAAATGTTTATTTTTAATCAGTTTCTAATTCTATCTCCCCTCCCACAATGTTCCCCATAGGCCTTTAAAAAAGGGGAAATAATAACAATAGAGGACACAAAGTTTTGGGAGGTTAGTGGGAAACGAGTGGAAATGAGGGAGGGGATCAGAAAGTGACCAAAATACAGTCTATGAATTTTTAAAGAAACCATAAAATATTTTTTAAAACTTAGTTTCTTGGGGCTGAAGAGTTGACTCAGCAGTTAAGAGGAGCAGAGTTTGGTTCCCAGCACCCACATGGCAGCTAACAACCATCTGTAATTCCAGTTACAAGGGATCACCTTTGTCTTTGACCTCCTCCAAGGGCACTGCATGACATGGCTGCACTTAATATACACGCAGGCAATACACTCATACACATAAAATAAAAATAATCAATGAAATATTTTTAAAGGTTTCTAAATGCTTGTTATATTCAGATATTATATATATACACATATGTTACGTTAATTTGGATTTGGTAGTTAAAAACGATTATCTCCAAGATTTTTTTATCTCTATTTGAGACCTTGTGATTTTTATGGGCTGGTTCATTTCTCACCTCCCTGACAACTCCCACATACAATTCTTTTGTCAAAATCTTGGAGCTTTGATCCCCTAGCTGTTGGAAAGAAGCCTGGGTCTACTGCTCATGTTTCTCATGTATGCCTTACCTTGCAGGCAGAACATATGAAATGTGTTTTTGTTGTGCCCAGAGAATGGACCCCCAAGAATAACCACAGAATCCAGAGGGCATGCAAGAACAAAGAGTCTTTATTCGGGCTTAAGCTCAGGCTCTCAGACCTCACCAACGCAATGGATCTGTGCCGAGAGCCCCGATTGCAGGAGGAGGAAGCCTTTTATAGGTTTTAGACCAAGGCAGGAGGGGAATAACAGAGTTACATCTTGATTGGTCCAAAGAGCCCAAACGCACCAACATTCTTTTGAATTGATTGGTTACAAGGGATACAGTCTTGGAGGCTTCTCATTGGTGGGTGCTGCCCTCAGGGCTGTGGGATGTGCTGACTGTTATCTTCAGGGCCAGAGGACCCTGTTTATTCCTTATAAGGCCTCAAACCTGGCTGGGCCCCCTTGACATGCCCCGGTTTGCCTTGGAGATTATGACATGCCTGGACAGGTCCAGGCTTGCCTGAAGCAACTAGTCAAAATGGGGTCAGTGCAATTTGTCCTCTCAGCCTAGCAATCAAGTGGTTTACAGAAACGAGAAAGAGCCATTATTCCTAAAGAGGGGCAGGGGTCTCAGGAGTCCGGGGCAGGGGTCTCAGGAATCCAGGGCAGGGGGCCGCAGAGGAGGGTTTCACATTTTCTTCATCCTCGATCTGGAGAAACACAGATCACCAAATACCTATTATCACTACACTGCAGACAATGAAAACTCTCCCCAGTCGCATGTAAGAAATGTCTACAGAACATCTATTATCTTTTATCCTTCCTTACACACACACTTCTAGGCGATTCAGTTTGGAATCATAATGGGTTTGGAGAAGACATAATATTAAACTATTATGCTGATGATGATAAATATTGAAGAAAGTATCTTTTTTTTTATTTTCGGAATGAGACAAATTTTTAGTATTTTTCTTCCTGAGCTGTGGAGTAGTTCCAGGACAGTTTGAATTACTACAGGCCAGAGGTAAGCTGTCCAAGCACCAGAAGCTGGGAAGGCTCCTCCACTACCCTCCAGCATGGCCTCCAGCAGAAATCATCACATGTTAGTATTCATCAGAAGATGGAGAGATGGGGTGGCCAGAATAACTGAACGGACAAAGAGGAATGCATTTGGTCCTTCTGTTTCTAGAAGTTGATTTCTTTTTTTAAATTTATTTTCATTTTTTAGAAGAAGCATTTTGTTAAAGCTTTAACATACTCAATAACAATTTCCAGAGCAAAGATACACCTGTTTCAAAAGTGACTATAAAAATATAGGTTCACAGTTGAATCGATACAGTTATACAATATTGAACTCAGTATAAACCCTGTAAGACATAAAATTGAATGAGCTTTTAACTTTTAAAAAAGATCTCCATTTCATTTTAAAATACACTGTTTCTTTCAGAAAGACTTTTTTTTTTTTTTTTTTTCTAATAACGCTTAGATGTTGGCACATGCGTCTCTAATTTGTATCTAGTCATGTACTAGTCATGGTCGGTCGCAATCAGATCCTTGGCACCTGTTTGGATATAAAGTCATCAGGTAGATTTCACTGGTAATGTTTATCACCTCTACTACTTAACATGACATAAATTTTTATGCTTCCTCCTCAACTATAACTCATTTTTAAAAATTTGTTGATTTTTTTGTGTGTATATCATACAGAACATCCCAAATAATCTTATTCATCTATATACCCACTTCCCAGATGGCACCCTCCCATAGCCTCCCCCCACCCACTAGAGCCTTTATACTCTGTCATCCCTGCTACTGTCTGCTGTGGTGTCAGCACCCCCAGCCATTCCCCAGTACTTGTCCATGCTGTGAATCTAGTCAGCCTATCTAGAGGTCTTTGTTTTAGGAAGATCAGGTGTTCCTCATTTAGCAGCAATCAGTTGTCAATATGCCTTTAGATAAGATTGGGGTCTGCTGTTCATTTTCCCAGTTCTATGCTGGGTTACTGTCTGGGAGTCTCT